TATAATTGTTAATGGTAAATCTATGAGATAATAATATGCATTAATGTTACGAGGATCTGTTATTAACAACAAGAAGAAATGCTCTCTCTCTGCATTTTTTTTTTTTTTTTTTTTCAGTTGGGAGTTGTATTGGGCTAATCTTGTTCCTTCACACATTGAGGGCTAGACCTGGGCTAGGACCGACCTACTATCCTGGGGGCAATCTAAACTTCTTAAGCCAGTTGGTTTACAATGTTGAGATGCCTGTTGAATTCTCGTCCACAGCATTTATATGGGCCTTAACTTAGAACTTTTATTTGGATAAGTTTGAGATTGAAAGATAGATAGGGACATCAGAATAAATAATTAAGACGCCCCCGGTTTTCTGAATTTGCCCATGGATTCAACGTCTCTTCTGGGAATCTGTTACTCACACATATTTAGCTTCAAACAAGTCTTCTATTTTCAGCAACTGCCCGCAAAATAGACTAATTGATTATAATTTTTTTTTTATTTATATGTTGGTATTTAATAATTATATTAAATTTTAATTAATTTAAAATTAAGTTACATTAGATAAATTTTTTTTAATATTTATTTTTTTATTTATAAAATTTAAATTTAAAATTTCTTTTATTTAAATTAATAAATTATTGATAATTATAATCCTTTATAGGAGTATATATTTTAACTTTAATGTTGGATTGAAATTTTTTTTTTCTAAATTTATACTTGTTTGTCCAGCACTCGGAGACTAATTTCTGCAAGGCGGCAAGACATGTTTAGGATTAGTTGAACTTGGACTCAATCCCAAGTCCCCTTCCCCATCTCAGAACAAAAATTCCCATTGTTCAAAAAAAAAAAATTATACTTGTTTAAAAGGAAAAAAAAAAACTCGCGATTTCGATCCTTATAAATCCTCCCTCTCTTAAATTGAAAATTGTTTTAAAAAAAAAAAGCATAACTTTTTGCCTTTTCTTCTACTTCTGTCGGTAAAACTTACACGAGCTCATGTATAAGGTACTAGACAAACGAGGGTGAATTTTAGGCCTTTTTTTTCTTTTCTTTTGTCGTCTCCCTCTCTTTTGCCTTTTCTTCTACTTCTGTCGGTAAAACTTACACGAGCTCATGTATAAGGTACTAGACAAACGAGGGTGAATTTTAGGCTTTTTCTTTTCTTTTCTTTTCTCGTCTCCCTCTCTTTTTCTTTTTCTTCTTTTTTTTTTTTTTTTTTTTTTTTTGTGGGTTTCTCACCAGCCAAGGGTAGTCCTCTTCTTTTTCATTTTTGAACTGTCTGGTGCTATCATGATTCAAATCAAAAACTCAATACTTTCAACAAGGAGATTACCACTCGTAACAATCTTATATGGCTAGAGACGGCTACCAAATCATCTATAGTTTCTCTAGATGAAGAATATTTAACTGCGATTTTTCACCTCAACATCACATCTCTATATAAAACTGGGTAGGATATCTAAGATGTGGTTCTGTAGAACTGGACACAACCTCATCAGATATCTTGTATCAAAGTGTCATGGGTTGGGTTGTTCCATTTTGCTGTGGGTATTGGATATACAATGAAACATTAACCAGTCAAGAACATTGCATCATCTGGTTGGTTGTAACTTAGGTTAGTTGGTAGTAACTTAGGTTAGCCCCACTCATCGAAGCCCACAACATTTTTAAAACTGCTCGCCACTGGTTTGTAGCAGAACATGGAAAATGCAACTCAACCCAAAAAAAAAAAAGAGATAAATGACAAAACCCAGCTATTCCGAACACCTCTCCCTCCCCTATATTAAGGTATCATATCCTACTTCCCTCTCCTCTCTATATCTCCAATCTCCATATTGTCTGATTTCTTCACTCAAAATGGCTTTCATGGTTTCCAAATCTCAACCATCTTTCTCAGAGACGGAGGAAAGGGCTGTGAGTGTAAAGCAACAGTTGGAAGAAGATAAAGATGTTCAAACACTCAGTCCCATCACCAGCCACCTCTACTTGAAATCCTCGGCTCGGTCGTCCTCGCATGAAACACTGGATAAAGAAGCCGTCCTCAGACGCATACGCCACCACAAGAGCTTGAACAGAGTCAGGACGGCTTTGCAAGCTCTGGCAAGCGGCTCAGGGAAGGCAAACGGGGACCAGATGTGGACGGAGCTAAGCGATGATTTCTCCTGCCCCTGAAGGCAGAAAGCTGCACCTTTATTAATTTCTAGGTTGGATTAAATTCATTAGATTAAGGATCATGAATGAAGTCATGGATGATGACCTCAAGTAGTAGCAACGAATGTTCCCCAGAGGACTTTCTCGATATTTATTAGGAAAGTTGTGATTATCGAATCCAAAATTCTGTTCAGTGTTTGATGAGAGAAAATTTCCATCTATATTCACAATCTAATCCCTTCAACATAGGTAGAGGCAACAAGTAACTGGCAAATTCTTTGGAATGATACCATCTACTGTGATGATAAATAAAGCAATAACAAAGGCAGATTCAAAAAATTCTACAACATCAGCCATACGAGCCTTTCAATTTCCATGTTTTTTGACAGCCTATATGGCGATCTTCATAACAATAGCACTCGTAAAATTTGTCAATTTTTACTTAACACACCAGTAGTAGAAAGGAGGCGAAGTGCTTGGTTGGAGTTGTTCAAAACTGAAGATGATCTTGGAACTTGCATTTTCCTTTTCTTTAAGAAATCCAAGGAATTCTGCGAACATGGAGCAGGGGGTATCTCCTTCAAAATAACAGGTTCTAACCTGCAAAAAATAATTAGTGAGCATGATTATTCTGCCTTTAAAGCTTCAAGTATATCTAAGTAATGGAGGGAGCTGACTGTTACCCTGAAGTTTTGTGTTTTTTCTTTCTTTTCCTTGGTTTTTCCTCAGAATTTTCATCCTCGGAGTCTGATAAGAAAACTTGTCTGCAAATATAACACGTTACCTTTCTTAGAATCTCTGGATCTAGAGACCGAGACCCCTTGTAGTTGAATGTGCATGTTCAAGACACGGAAATAAATGTGAGAGAGACAGGCTAGAGATAGAATCCTCTTACTTTTCACGGGCAGCGAGCATTTCAACTATGTTAGTTGGAAGCATCCCTATATTAGCATGAGGCTCATCTTCAGTTTCAGCTTCTACCACATCTTTTACATTGTTAACTTCTTTTGATTTTTTTGGTGTTTTCTTCTGCGCCCATAGCCTGCGGCGTTCTTTTCCCTCACGAACTGCCCTAAATAGAGGAAATCATATTAAGAGCCATTAAATAAAATTGTTTCAATAAAATGTATTTGATTTTTTAAGTAAATTCAACACAAGGAAAGTTAAAACAAGACTATTCTGTGCCCAAGTCTCTAAAGCTTCAGCTTGGAATGAAAATAAATGGACCAAAAGAAGGAACTCAATTATATTCTCTATTGGCATTCTTTTTGCCTAAACTCAGAAATAATTCTCCCACTTAATCCAACAATGAGTCCATTAGCATAGAATTTCTTGTGTAATTAACAGAGAGCAAAAAGACTCTTGCAATAAAAAAAAATACAGAACCTGGATCCTCCAATACTTCCTCCTTTTCCTTGTATAGGTTCTTATGAATACCCACCAACTTGTCCTTCTAAAAGGGTTGGTAGGAGGTGGCTAATACATTTCCACCCATCACCATTAATCCCTTCATCTATAACATGCTGGGAATGCTCACAATATCACCAACTCAAGGAACAGAACATCCCAGGGACTGCTCTCAAAAGTTCACATCACACCAACCCAACTAAAATTGTTAATTGGAGATGACTAAAAACTGGCTAATTCACATTCCATCACTCCAATTTTAACAAAGTTATCTCAGTCTAAAACTGCCAACATGCCTATCAAATCAACTTTAGTATCACCACGACACCAAGAATCTGGCTATATAATTAACACTCCTTGTTGTTCAAGCTTCACATCAACAGAATTCCTTTAGCTAACCTTGTAGGAAATGGACTTGACAAATCTAAATGTTCAACCCCTTTTCTTTCTGACTTAAAAAATGTTCAGCCCTTTCTCTAAACTAAAATTAGACAAACTCAGGAATGGCCTAACTCTAAGAAGCTAATGATGGGTTCTGCATCTTAATGAACAATGACAATAAAAAACTATCTTCTTTTAACATCTCAGACATAACCAAAGTTCCAGCAACCTTACCCAGCTTCAAATTTCCAAAAAAGAAGTAAACTTTGAAACACTATACAATAAAGACCATATCTTGCACAAGATGGTAGCTCAATTACACTCACAGTTAACTAACAAACTTGACAGCATATGAATCCTTAAATTTCTTAACTTATTGATACCTGGCCTTATTTTCTTTCACGACTTTTCTAATCTCCTCATCTTGCTGTACTGCCTGAAAGA